TATAAATTTATTTAAAATTATAAACAATTTTGATATTTGATTAAAAATTCTATAATTCTATCCAAATGCTTAACTGTAAAAAGGCTTTTCATTACTATATCTTGATTGCTAGCCCTTGATTTTTTTCTTTAAAAACAGGAAAGGAGCATCTTAGGTTCCAGGGAATATTCTGTGTGGATACAGTGTTGGTCGTGGACAGAGAGTAAGAGATTACCTAGTCCTCCTGCATGGGCATCTATAAGTGAGGCTGCTACTGCAATTCCAGGAGGAAGGCCAAGGTCTTTCGCAGCCTCTGGTGTGAGCCCATTTCCAAGAGAAGCTCCAGGAGGCAGCACTTGGTTTCCTGGGTAGACATTAAAAAAAAAAAAAAGAAAAAAGGCTGTCAGTTTGAAAAACATAAAAGCAAACATAAAGTTTTCTTAAGAGAACCTCTCTGCTCCCTCCCCTTTCCTCTGCATTTCCTCAACTTAATGAAGATAGAAACCATGCAGCCACAAAGAGTCCCTCTGCTCACTTGGTGACAGGTATATGTTCTTGGTTTTTATGGATCATGCTCTGGGGTGCTTTACAAACCCAGGAGTTCTAGGGCATCTTTCAAACTACAGAAATATTCCATTAATAGGAAATTGCAAAATATATAAAAGCAGTGGCCTCTTGAAGACTGATTAAAATGTTCGAAATGTTTCACATGGGCCTAACACAGCAGCTCTACTAGCATATATTACACACACACACACACACACACACGTGCGCACGCACGCATATGTTCACACATCCATACATATTCCCTGATGAACATATTCCTTAGGAAGCTGACAAAATTTACTTGTGTAGTTGCTTTCTGTCAGAGGATAAGGGAGAGAATAATTTTCTGCCAATAAAGAATTTCTTAAAAGTTTTTCTCAGTTGGAAAAGAAAGACCAGTCCAAACCTCGCAAACTTTAAAACTTTACAAGGTTGCTACTAGTACAACGATAGAATACAATTTGAATAGTGTTCTTTAGAGTTATGCAATGCAACGACCCTGATATTTCAAGTGACCTTGAATTCCTGCAGTCACTCAGGCCTTCAGTTAAGAATTTATTGATTGTCTTGCTTTGTGTGGGCTCTGTGGCGCTGTAAAATGCAGTCCTTGCCCCCAACCTAGTTAGGGAGATGAGATCAGGACAAAGAGAAACATGTAAGTTAGAAAAGAATGAAGTGATCCATCTGCTCCCAGGTGTTCAGCAGAGGCTGAGTCCTCTCCCTGCTCAGTGCCAAGGAATTTATAAGTATTTCAAGGAGGGGTGGGGTAGACTCATATATATGAGGAGATCCCTCAGAGCTCCAAGATTCTACAGTTCTGAATATGTGGTCAGCAATTTGCTTCCCGCTAAGATACCTACCACTTGTTAATTGTTCCCTGGAGCGCCAGGGATGGGCAGAGGTACTACAGGACTTCTATAAGTGGAGGTGAGGGTCAGGGTTAGAAGGAGGCAAGGCAGAGCATGAATGGCTCATCGACCTCTTCCAACTGGAAAAAGTACCTCCACAACACCATTCTTATCCCTTTTTAAGTAATGAGCTGCTTTTTATAATTGAATTTGAAAAAAGTTTAGCTAAGAAAAAGAGGAAGAAGACTGAAACCACTGCAGTGGTTTCTAGAACTTCATTGTCCAATAAGGCAGCCGCTAGGCACATATGAGTTGAGCATTTGAAATGTGGCTGGAGTAACTGCAGAGCTAAATTATTCACTGATTTTTAATTTATTTCACTTTAAATTTAAAAAATGATACACAAGTCAGTTACTGAAAAAGTTTCATGTTTGGAACAACTGAGGTGTGCAAATCTACTTTTTAATACTATTTTAAGAAATCTAAATCGAGTATTTACAAGGGAAATTTAGTGTCTAAAACTGAGATGTAATCGGTGGAAAATACAAACCAGATGTCAAAGATTTAATACAGAAAAATAAATGTAAACTATTTCATTAATAATGTTTATGTCAATTACATGTTGAAATATTTTGAATATATTAGGTTAAATAATGTATATTAAAATTAATTTCACCTATTTTTACTTTAATGTGGCTACTGGAAATTTTTTAATTACATATGTTGCTCATATTACATTTCTACTGGACAGCACTGGTCCACAGGGTAAGGTTGAGATGATCAAATGTTGGGGCAGAGACAAAGAGAGCTCTAGTCTGCTTTGAATGCCTAGGCCAGCAAAAACCTGGAATAGAGAGCAGTGTCCTTAGCTGTGGACAGTTTGGCTCTGGAAACTATCTTAATTATGTCACTATGTCTCATATCCAGCACTTAATTATGTCATTATGTCTCCTATCTAGCATATAAGGAGCAGCATCTCCATCTACTAAGCACTTCTGTGCCAGGAACGGTGCTAAGGACATATCATGCATTTTCTCACCTCATTGTCACAATAATCCTCTAAGAAGAGTACTATTACTGTCGCCATTGCACAGATGGAGGGGGAAAGTCAAGTTTATCAAGAGAAAGTAAAGTCCCCACAGTCATACAGCTTAAGTGTGAAACAGGCCATGGATTCCACTCTCATACCAAACTTGTGCTCTTATTCATTATATTGCATTTTGGTATAGCTGTATTTTTTAAGTGTCTTTTAAGTGAACGAGGGAATCAAGAGAAGTATTTTTGGAACAAACATTATGTTTAAAAAGTGGCACCATTTAGAAACCATGCCCACTGTAGGCATATCTTATTTTATTGTACTTCATAGATGTTGAACTGTTTACAAACTGAAGGCAAGATCCTCCACCAGCAAAAAGGTTATGACTTGCTTTATTATGGTACTCGCTTTATTGTGGCGGTCTGGAGCTGAATCTGTAACATCTCCGAGGTAAGCCAGTACTTTCAGACTTCTTTAAAAAGGGGTTAATTTTCATAGGAAGGTCAGAATGGGAACTCTGTTCCACCTTCATCCCCAATCTTCACAAACATAAAAGGTATAATTTTCATTAAAGGTTCCAGACGGAAGGAAGATTAGCAGGGTGTGGTACTCTTCCAAGTCTTCTGGACTGTAATTTACAAAGAAGCCATGGCTGGTGGGGAGCACAGAAAGCCTTGAGCTTACATTCAGGAATTCTGGATTCAAATCATATGCTGGAGAACTACAGGTAGATTTCTCAGCAGGGCTAGCATCCTGAGCAAAGGCTAAGAAAGACAGGAGACTGCCAGAAGGGCTCAGTAAACTGGAACATAAACTGGGGTGAGAACTGCTGGGAGTGAAGGAGACAGACGAGGTTGGAGAGGGAAGTGAGGCCAGTGCATGCACTGTAATCCAGACTAAGGTGTGTGAACTTAATCAGGAAGACCACTGCGAGCCTCTGAAGAAGCATAAAGCCAGGGAGTAAGGTGACTGGATTTGTGTATTTTTAAAGATCCTTCTGGCAGCATTGTAGCAGAGGACAGAATGGTGTAAGAGAAAACAATTGTGAAGCTATCTCAGTAACCACAGAGAAAAGATGAGGGCCTTGATTAAGGTATTGGCAAGTGAGATGCAGAAACAGAGGCAGATATGAGAGATTATGTGGAGCAAGAAATGACAGGTCGTGGTGGTTGCTTGGATATGGGAGGTATAGCAGGTAGGTACCTGTTATCACCTGGATCCCTACTAAGGATGGCCTTGCTGCCCATGGTGGGAGTGAGGTTAGCAGACGGCCTCCAGCTGCCAGTTTCTTCAGGCCACTTTGTTGAGGCAATGTGCTTCCCAGGGCAACCATACCTAGTGACTTAGCAAAGCGTGAGCAGAAGGGCTCTGGTGGGCACCAATCCCTCCAGAGCACTCTACGGGGCTGGCCAAAGTGATACTGGACCACATCATGGTTCCACTTTTCCCTCTGCCCAATCCTACTTCCTCCCCTTCCTTTCATAGGTGGAAACCCCTAATAAACATCTTATACCCTCAAAGACCTCTCGGGCCCTGCCTCCAGAGAACCTAGGGCAGTGAGCCAGGCCTTCTCAGTCTAGTGGTCTAGGAATGAAAATAAATATGCGCAAGGATTAACATTCCTCTTCTGAATTGGAAACACAGCCTTCAGTAACAGTCTATCTGGACCCCAAGCAGGAAGAAGCTTTGTTTATCTACAGCCAAAAGAAAACAGGTTGGCATAACACAAGATGATAGAAATAGGTGGCCCTCTTAGAGAAGTCACCCAATCAGATCACACTTTAAGTTCATCTGCTAGAGATGCACTGAGGGGGCTAGAGGAGCTGTGAGAGGCAAGCTTTAGTGCATCCTGACAACTTTTCCAAAAATAATCCTCCTTTCACCATAAAATTAAATTATTCACAGCATCGGTTTTCCCAGAGTTAATCAGGGCTTCACAGCCTCTGCATTTGCAATCTCTTCTAGTCTTCATCCAACTACTCATATAAATTTTAACAAGCATTTCGATAACAATGGTAACAATGATGGTCCCCAGGGATGTCCATCTACCCTGTGACAAGATCGAGGTGTGGGCACCTCTGACCTCGGGGACTCACACAGCTCGGTACAAACCAAGGCTCTCAGGACCGTGTATAAAATGTTTTAAAGGTGGAATGCACGTGATGTTCCCAGAGCACCAAGAAGGGACTGTGAGGGGGGCCCAGGGGAGTCTAGGAAATCAAGATGAAGGTGACATTTGAGCCTGGTCTGGAAAGACAGGTGGCAGATTGCTGGTTTCAGAGTTATCATGCTCAGGGGAAATGAATGCCATTAGAACAAAAAGCAGGTTCACTGTAGGGAGCTCCAACGGACACGGAGTGTTTGAGGCGTTCAGTATGTTGGCAAAAAGGACGCCAGGGAGGAGCAGTGCAGTGCAGTCGAATGCACGAGAAAGGCAGCAGGGGCCCTAAGGCGGGGCAAGGAGCTCCAGCCAAGGAAGGCAATGAGGCCCCGGCGGCCAACAGTTTTGAGCACTTTGTTTTTTAAGAAGATAAACCTGCAATGTGGAGAAAGGCTAGAATGGGAAATAGTTTTTATTTTTAAAACAATCAAATCAACTGAAAAATGCAGGCTACAAAACATTATGTAGAGCGTGACTTCATTTTAAGAAAAACAAAAAGTTAGATGAAATGCTTGTAAAAAATACATTCTAAGAGGGAAAAATATGGAGAAAGGCTTTCTCTGGATGGAGAAATTATGCATGTTTTTTGTTTTGTTTTGTTTTGCTTTGCTTTTTACTAATCTATAATTTCTAATTGTTCTACCTTGAACACAAATTTCTTGTGTAATTTTTAAAAGATGTTTTCCACCTTAAATATGGTCAGGGTAAATAAATTAGGCACGTGTATTTAGCAGAACACTACATAACCATTAAAATGAATGAGGAAAAATTAA